CCTTTCTGAAAAATGCATAGAATTTCATCCAATTATCCCAACACTGCGCTTCATAACTTCTGTTTGACTAACACTTATCTTCCAGAAAGCCAACCAGTCTTGACTGTGTGTTCTTCTCTGATGTTTGCTCTCCTGCATTTTCATTTAGTCCACTACAGTTAACACCAATCTATCGGCTTCCCAGTGATCTAAAGAGTTAGACTAAATTGTATCAGATTTGTCTGTATTTGTTCTACTTGGCATATTGGCTCCTCTGTGGCTGTCGCTCATGTCAAAACTATTATCTAGTTTCTGAGTTGAAGGGTGGACCACTTCATCCGTCACAATGTAATTTTCCATTTGGCTAAGAACAGAGAAATATCATTTTTGTAGATTTTTTTTTTATTTGTGAAGCTACCCAGATGCTACTGTGCTGAGTGCTAATATAAGAACTATATTAAATATAAGGTAGACAGATCTAAGGAGAGATCCTTTTTCCAGATTAACTCTTTCTGCAAGCTTTAGGCTCTGTCTAGATTTGGAGCTAAGGGTACAAATCCCAGTTTACATGGACATATTTACTAAAAGTTGCACCTCTCTAAATGGGGACACTCTTGTCCGGCAACATTTGTGGTCCAGCAGATCAATGGATGTTCGTAGACCAGATGCCCCAGGGTTGGGAGCCCAGTGCCAAGAGGACTGGGACTGGAGCCGCAATAGTCGACTGCCATGGGGCTCATGTTGGGCCTGTGGCATCCCCTGGCAGTGGGGTCAGGGCCTGGGCATTACCACCTTTCTTCCGCTTTGATATGGGTTAATCTCCATAGTCATTTCTTCTAGGGTTGGCAGGCTAGAGGACCGGTGGCGGGGGACCTCCCCGGTCTGGTTTAGGTTGGACATCAGGAAAAACTTCCTGCTTGTCAGGGTGGTTAAACACTGGAATAAATTGCCCTGGGAGGTTGTGGAATCTCCATCCCTGGAGATATTTAAGAGCAGGTTAAATAGACATCTATCAGGGATGGTCTAGATGGTGCTTGATCCTGCCATGAGGGCAGGGGACTGGACTCAATGACCTATCAAGATCCCTTCCAGTTCTAGTGTTCTATGCTTCTATAGTTTTCCATTACAGTGTCCTCCTCCTCCTGTTTCCATTGGTGTCAAAATATTAATATCCATTGGATTAGGTGTAGGCCTTTTTATTCCCTGTTGTCATCCCATTTCTCTTTGGTCGTAACTGATAAGGTGAGATCAACATTATAACAGGAAAATAACATATACAGGCCTAATCCTGGGCCGATTTATGCTTGTGCTTAGCTTCATGTACTGTGGTTTGTTGTGGTGAAACCAGTTGGATTACTCACTGTCATATTAATTTCAATGCATTCTCCTTTCCATTCCGGTGATTTCCCAGATATTGCATAGTGCCTCTTCGTGTTCAGCAATATCATAGGTAGACTGCTTATTTATGTTTAAGGAAAGGTTGTTTTAAAGCTAACAGTCCTTATTTTCAGTGCACTGGTTGTAAACTTTTATCTTGCTGATGTTCAACGGATACACAGGCTGGATTATCGTACGATGGCACCCTTTGTCCTTAAAACCGGGTGGGATGACTTTTTCTGTGCCTACCCTTCAGGACCCATAACTGCAAGGCTGATCTTGATATGGGGGATGGAGTGAGTCTTCATTTGGTGCTATGCCCAAAATGCCCCGGAGATTGAGCAGGAAAAGGAGTGTAGTTCCATGTATATGGGAGAGAGGTGTTCCTGCTAACTAAGTGCCATTTAATGGCAACGCTCTGTGTAGCTCATTAGTTCAGTGAGACATTTGAGATGGAAAACATCAATATGGTGCCACTGCTTGGCTCACCCTGAATGTCTTTTCATCTCATCTATGCCTAGACTGCATCTCTCTGTTGGCAGAGGGATGCAGATTAGGCAGGTCGACATTGCAAATGAAGCAGGGATTTAAATATCCCATGCTTAATTTGCATAAAAATGGCTGCCATTTTTGCCGCCTCAGCACTTTGTTGGCAAAAAGCAGCAGTCTAGAGGGGGATCTGTCAAGAAAGAAAGACTTTTTCAACAGATCCTGTAAACCTCCTTGCAGGAGGCATAAGGGATCTGTCGAAAAAGGCTTTCTTTCTCTACAGATCCCCCTCTAGACTGCCACTTTTTGCTGACAAAGTGCTGAGTCGGCAAAAAAGGCAGCCATTTTAATGCAAATTAAGTGTGGGATATTTAAATCCCTGCTTCATTTGCAATGTTGACCTGCCTAATCTGCATCCCTCTGCCAACAGAGAGATGCAGTCTAGACATACCCTCAGTGAGAAATGCAACCCTAGTAAGGGCATGATGAAAACGTGTTTTGTTTTAGCCAGACCTTTATTTAAAATTCTACCAGACTGACCCATCACTGCTCAGGTCCTCAACTCATTTTTTTTAAATAAAAGGAAATTGTACATGCTTTGTTGAAATGATGGCATTTTCCAGAAATACAGTGTTATTTTTATTAAGATAATTTTAGTCTACTTTTCAAATGGGAATTCCATCATCCCTATAAGCTCTTATAATTTACAATGTTTTAACTAAAAAGAGTTCGGGTCAGTTTGGTTTCCAGTAACATTGTCTCCTCGTTTTCAGACCTTAATGCTTGATTTAGCTGGGCCAAAACAGATCATGGCTCCAAATTTCTCTGGCCATGTCTGCACAAGGAGATTATTTCAAAATGACTAAATTCGACTTAAGAACTCCCGATTTAATACATTCAAACTTGCATGTCCTCGTTATTGGGAAGCGTGGAATGTCCTCGCTATGGGGAACCATGGAATGTCGTTTGAGGCGGGCTCCGTTAATGTGGACATGCTACCTTGGACTCAGAGCACCAGGAAGCACTCTGGGAAGCTGCAGGAGGCCTCCTGGGGGCCATTTAGCACAATTTAGCAGCACCAGAGTGTCCACACTATCGTTATTTCGAACGTACAAGTTCAGAATTGGCATTATTCCTCATGAAAAGCAGGACTAAAGAGTTCAAATTCCACTGCCCGTTATTTTGGAATAAATGGCATGGTAGTGTGAATGGCACTGCTTACTAATTCAGACTTGAAGGGGGGTGTTACTTTGTACTAAGGTCCTAGTGTAGACCAGGACTCTGTGTTATCTCTTTTCTCTAAGGTTTATTGAGAAGCAATCCTGTTCCAGGGTCATCTCGGTTTTCTGGCTCATCTGGGTTCAGTCTCTTTCAACATTTACTCCGTTATGTCAATTTTGAGGATTATACTTGATTTGGTGATTGTCACTTTTCTGTTTGATTTTATGAGAAGCAATCCCATTCCAGACACATCCTGTTTTCCTGGCACAACCAAACCCTTACATTACTTTAAGTTATGATCAGAGGAAACTTTATACCAAATTTGGTGGTCCTAGCTCTTACCATTTGGAAGGAGTTCTTGATCAGACACACAGACAAACTTTTTAAAATTCCTAATCCAGGTTCATCCTATTTTTCTGCTTCATCTTGGTTCAATCTCTTTCAACATTTGCTCCGTTACGTCAATTTTGAGGCCTTTACTTGATTTGCTAATTCTGTCTCTTTTCTGTTTGCTTTTATGAGAAGCAATCCCATTTGCAGGCACGTCCCATTTTCCTGGCATATGTCTTCAGTTTATCTCATTTCTGGAAAGCATATTGGAGAAGCAATTCCATTCCAGGCACATCCCATTTTCCTTGTACAACCAAACCCTTATTTGGCTTTAAGTTATGGTAAGAGGAAGCTGCCTGCCAAATTTGGTGGTCCTAGCTCATACTGTTTAGGAGGAAATCTTCAGAGAGGTAGCTGAGTTAGGCTATGTCTAGACTGCAAGCTTCTTTTGGAAGAAGCTTTTCTGGAAGAGATCATCCGGAAAAACATTTCTGAAAGAGAGTGTCTACACAGCAAGAGCACAACGAAAAAGCAATCTGCTTTTTTGAAAGATAGCGTTCACATTGATTGGACTCTATCTCACATTTCAGTTGAGATTACTGCAGACGGAGTGGCCATCAGGATACCTGTGCTTTTTCCTAAAGGCCTCTGCTTTCAAAAAAACACTCTCTTCCACATCCACACACACCTTTTTCCGAACAAGCTTTTTCGGAAAAGGCTTCTTCCTCGTAGAAAGAGGTTTACTGCTGTCAGAAAAACACCTCCGTTCTTTTGACTTTCCTTTGAAAGAACACAATAGCAGTGTGGCTGTAAGTGTATTTTTTCTGGAAAAACTCTGCAATGTAGACATACCCTTTGTCTATAATGGGAAAAACTTAAAAAACAACAAATAGTCTTGCAACATCTTAAAGACTAACAAAACATGTAGATGGTATCATGAACTTTCATGGACACAAACCATTTCTTCAGTACCCATTGTTTGGTTTGTTTAGGAGGAGTTCTTGGCCAAACAAACAGACAAACTCTCTAAAACATGTATTAGATTAAGGCCTCTTAGTTTAGTGTGGAACACCAGAAAAAGGGCTAACACCATCTTGAATTTTGGCTTGGAGTGGGGGAGAGGAGCGTTCAAATTACCCAGTAAGTTTCTTAAGCAGGTACATAACTTTAAGTACACGAAGAGTCCCACGGATTTCATTCTTTTTGAGCATGAACACTTTCCTGAAATGGAGACTTGCAATGGTATAATTTCTTTGGCTCCAGTGGTATTGGTGTAGCTGAGGAGAGAATTCTGCTTTGACTATGTAACATACCACGCATTGCATTCAGTGTAGCCAAATGCCAAACCTTTTCTGCCACCGGGGTATGTCAGCGACTCTCAAGTTCTGCTGATGAACTCTTGGCATTTTGTTGTTTTAACTTCCCCATGTGCATCAGCAGGCATCTCGGGGGGAGATGACATTTCACATATTTGTTTTCACATATGGACATGTTCAAACATCTAACCCAGATAGATAACTGTGGAATCCATTGCATTTCATTCCTAATCTCTTTCTGGCCCTGGAGTTTCAGGGACTGGCTTGTCATATTACAGAATCAAGATAAAGCGCGAAAGTAGGATGTGTCGTTTCAAATGCTGTTTAAAAAAAAAGCAGCAACGCAGCACATCACAATAGCAAGTTAAATATAGAAATGGATTAGAGAGTCATTGTTTTCAGTGCTGCTAAATAAGACTGGACTCTCAAAATGGAATGCCACTTGACCTTTCATGTCTCATCAGTCCATACTTGTATTTAACTGATGCAGGGAGGACACATTTCCCCCTTGGAAGTGTCCTGTGTCGACATGACAGTTGCTACTGCTGGGTCACACAATGTTTAGGAGGCATAAACCCAGCACGCCGGAACACAAGAAGGACTTTCCTGTGCATGGAGCCACACTGCCGAGCCTCCAGAATGACACAAGGTCTTTTTTCAACTTGTCTCAGCTTGTTCTCTCTGCTGGCCATCTCAGACCATCGCCTGTGTTGCGACATTCAAAGATCACGTACTTCGAAGTGGAAATCCTGGATGCCCAAAGTAAGAGGCAGATCTGCGTGGTGGATAAGGTGAGCCGTGTGGCACAGAGTGGGAGGCAAAAGATGCCGTTTGGGGGTTGCGTTTCCCTGCAGTGTCATATTATCCCAATGTGGATTTCATCTTATTCATCTTGCTGGGACAGGTGCAAAATGTCTCCTTATTCACAGGCCTTCAGTTGTTTTTCCCTCATATTCTAAACCCTTGGCAAATAAATCAGGCTATTTATACCTGCTGGCTGGTCAGCAGAATCAAGCAGACAGTTTGCCTTTGTCTTAAAGTTTGCAAAGATTGCAATGCTTATTTCAGGGCCTAATATATAAACAGTCACTTTAGGAAAGTGAATTCAGATTTATACGATATTTGCAAAGGTTTGTGTCACTGCGGTACCAGAGGGACTGTCTAGTGTCCAAATGCATTTGGCCGAAGCCCGTTTATCCAAACGGGACATGGACTGCAAAGTAGATTTTCACTTAGGGCAGTCTGGCTAGGAGAGATTTTTGTGTTACTGATGTGCAAACAGGGGATTATGTTGCACTTAGTGATGAGGGGTTTGGATAAGACTGGATTCTACCTCCTAAGTAAAGGAGGCTCGAGAAAATATCTCAAGTGGCTTTATCGGAAAAATAAACATTTTCGCCACAGATTTCTATTGCCTATTGCACGGATGGCCCTTGACTTTGGGAGAAGAGAGGGTGCTTCATTTGGGCGTAGAGAATATGTGACTAGGTGGACTCAAAGTGGCCGACTCAATGGTTTGCCTGAGATGTGTTCTTTGCAAATATGGGACAGACGTACAGGAGCACAGGGGGTTGTAGCAGAGCTACATACACTGGTATAGGTTGGACCTCTCTGGTCCACCACCTGTGGGACTTGACTGATCCCAGATGAGGGATTTTGCTGGACCAGCGGAGGTCACATCTGACCCCTCTGCCACTGTTCCTCCCCCCTTCCGTATGGCCCATGCCGACCTACTGGGCTTCCAGTCAACCCCCCTCTGGCGGTGCAGCAGCTTCTCAGCTCCCGGGCCCCCCAGGCAGCCCATCTGGGCCACGCACCAGCTCTCACCTTCCTATCTGCAACCCAGATGGGCCATGCACCAGGCTAACGGCACCTCCTCCCCCCGCTGCATTGTGTCAGTCTCCCCTCTCCTCTGTGCAGCGCACCAGGCTCCTGACCCACCCTTCCTGTGCTTGGACTCTCTGACCCTGGAACATCCATGGTCCAGCAGGACCAGACCAGAGTCTGATCTGGACCAGAGTCCTGGTTTAAAGAGGTGTTGCCTGTATTTAGTCATGTTGGATAACTGTAAATATAGGGTCTGATCATGAGCTGGCAAAACCCAGCATCGTGTCAATGGATCAGTGCCCCGTGCATACCAGCACGTGATCTGACCTCTTGTACTTTGCTGTGCACATTTGTGCCAGGCACATTTCTTTAGCCTGAGTGTACAACAGTCGCATGGTGCAGCGGAATACAGAGACTTCTCCTTTGGCGAAGCAGTGACGGTTTATCATCTTCCCCACTGAGAATTCTTGTTCCTGCCACTGAAACAAATAGCTGAGATGTATAAAGATACTTATTTGAACATCTTTTATATGTGCTCACTGGGATACACCCAAGGATTTCCAGTGCACACGGTTTTTTCAAGTAGCATTCTGAAGTAGGGATATACAGTTAATATTAAATAAATACATTAGCCTGTTGATATTAATTATCGCAAAATATGTTATGATCAATGCAAATATAATACACGATGAATAAATAAATAAATGCCTATACTGTAGAACTCACCGAGGGCATGTCTACACTAGGAAATTATTTTGAAATAACTACATTTGAAAGAATAACTCCTAAAATAACGAAATTGAAATAGCACGTCCCCACAACAGGGGAGCCTTGAAATTAGTCGAAGGCAGGCTCCGTTATCGCAGACTTAGAGCCCCAGGAAGTACTGGGAATAGTTCTTTCGAAACAGCAGCACCAGAGCATCCATACTACCGCTATTTCGAAATAACTATTTCCTACTAAGCATTATTCCCTGAGGAAAGCAGGAGTACAGATTTCAAAATAACCGTCTTGTTATTTTGAAATAACGGGCTTGATAGCATGGACGATCCTCTTATTCTTTCACAATAAAGGGAGTGAATTTGAAATAACTCTCTAGTGTAGACCAGGGCTAAATTAAGACTAATACTAATATGTTTTGAAAACCTTACACTGAATAAAGGCTCCAGATAAAAAAGCATGTAAGCATTTACCTAGCTTCAGGTTCACCAGCTGTCCTGTTGACTTGATGGAATTCACGGTAAGAGGAGCAGAATTAGTTCAGTGCTGAGTCTCTATGAAAAATCCCACTCTACATGATTTGTTTAAATACACTTGCTGTCCTGCAATATCGACCAGCCGGGGAGACCAGAGGGCTTGGTTTAGTCCTGATGCAGTAGAACCCCATTCGTCTGATCTAATGGGAACCAGGGCCAGACTGGATCATCCAGAGAATGGGAAAGTCTGAGGCTGCGGCAAGGTCTACCCCTGCCGCCAGCCTCCAGTCATCGTACAGAGAGATCATGGGGAAAAATAACAGCGGATTCAGATTTCCAAAGCTGCCTCAGGAGTTTGGATTTTCTATATCTGTTCCTCCAAGACTTCAAACCCCATAGAATACTACAAAAACCCAATGCGACTCTCATGCTACAGATTAGCACGTTAAATAATACACACCACAGATGAATACATGGATTCTCAATGCCAACTAGCACTCACAGGTATCGGTACACCCCATTTCTGTGGCTTATCACAGCAACAAAGAGAACATTGTGCTGCATTTCACACAGCCTGCTGCTTAATTACATGTAGCATAGACACAGCCCTAACATGACACTCGTAATGTCTGCTTTCTGTTTCTAATGTAATTGCTGTTAGTTTCACTTCTCAGCACTGCGCATAATTATTTCTTGTCAAGATTAGTAACAGGCAGGCACATTTATGTATATGAATATATAGTTATTCATATATAGAGATAATTTTTATTTCATATAAATGTGCGCATATATATATAAATTCACACACACATATATAATACACTTATGCAGTCCTTGCAAATTTTTAGCAATTCAGAGCAAGCTGCTGCTAAGCAAATGCACGCGTAATATTCCCAGTTTAATTAATGTGACTAGAAATCTAAATCAGTAACAGCAGAACAAGGGCCTCTTTGTCTCTCCCTCTTACGGACGTGCCAGTGGCCTAAAAGAAGTACCACGCACTGCTACCCCATGGGTTAGTTGTCATTTCACATGCACGGAAATCCTATTGGCGTTGATAGAAGATTTGTGTTTTCTAAAGGCAACTATCAACCTCCAGCTGTGGGCTGTGTAGCAAGGAAGATTGTCTTGTGGCTAAGGCAGTGAAGTCGGGTTTAGGAGATTTAGGTTCAACTGATCATAGACTTTTTGTGTGATCTAGGGTAAGTCACTTATTACTCTGGGCCTTAATTTGCCTCCTGTAAAATGAGAGAAACAACATTTCCTTTCTCTTATCTCTGAAGACTGTAACTCTTTGGGGCTGCCTCTTAGTATGTCTATGTAGAGTGCCTAACACTAAAAGGGCCTAATCTGGTTTAAGCCTGCTTTGTTTATTAACTAATCATGAAAGTGAGATACTTAAATAGAGAGAAATTGACTCATTATTTCTTTCTTTTATAATCTTTATGGGTAGGTCTACACTGCATTCCTCTTTCGAGAGAGGAATGCAAATGCACACAAACGAAATTGCAAATGACGTGCGGATTTGAATTTCCCATGCTTCATTTGCATAATCGCGGCCAGCTGCTTTTTCGAAATACCGTATTTTGAGGTAAAAAAATGCTGTTTAGCATATTTTGAGGTAAAAAAGTGGTTATTTTGAGAAAAAAACCTTCTTTTGAAATAACCCTTAAACCTCATTTTATAAGGAGTTAGGATTATTTCAAAAGAAGGATTTTTTCTCTGAATAACCGCATCTTAACAGCGTTTTTTACCTCAAAATAGGGCATTATGAAAAAAGCGGCTGGCCGCGACTATGCAAATGAACCATGGGAAATTCAAATCCGCACTTCAGTTGCAATATCGTTTGTCTGCATTTGCATTCCTCTCTCGAAAGAGGAATGCAATGTAGACATACTCTATGGGGGAAAGATGTCACTAGTTGCAAACAGAGTAAAGTTTCTGCAGGGCGAGGTAGAGGAAAGAAGTAAGTGTAATTCTGCAGTGCCAAACCCCAAAATGGAAAAAAATAATCGTCAGGACACCTCCCCCACCTTCTCACCTTGTGAGATTATCTTAAAAATCATGGCACGTAAATACTAATCAATAGGAGTTTCTTTTTACTGTTTTATGTTTTCTAAGCTTGTAGGTTTCACTTCAAAATGTCAGGCTTTTCTCTGAAATCACAAAGGCTAGAAATATTTTTTTTAAAAAGCCAAAATTCTCACATAATCCTCTGCCTCCAAGAGCGGGGGCTTAAAAAAAAAAACCTACAAGTGCAAGATTTATGCTAAAATCACAAGAGTTGGTGGCACTGATCCTACATTTGGCGTAGGTGCGTGTATGCCGTAGATGTGCTGTGTACAATTAATACTAAAAATACCTAGCTCTTGGGATTCTGCTAGGAATGTGGTTATACCAGTGAAGCAAGGAGCAGATGAAAATAGCAGCATTCAACTATCAGAGCCCCTCATATTATCCGCTCATATATGCATAGTATACATATATTGTGACTATAAAATCTGTGCCCCAAAGAGCTTTCAGCCTTCCAGGTGATGAGCGTTCTAGCTCAATCCAGCAAAACCCTCAAGCATATGTGCCATGGGAAGCATATAACTAACCCCATGGTCTTTAGTGAGACTGCTCGTGTGCTAAATTTTAAGCCCAGGTTCAATATTTTGTTGGCTGAGGCTATAGCATGGTGCACTAGCAAGACTAAATCCTTAAAACTCAATCCAGGAAAGTGTCTCTAGTCCCTTTGAACACTTACCACATGCTCCCCTAGAAGC